ATACTTGAAGGATCTGTTCAGCTTCCCAACTAAATCATAAGCTAATTGAGTGTGTGGGGTCATGTTTGTAGTTCTTCTCTCTGCTGTGCTTGGCATTGTTCTCAGTACATGTTAGGTACTTTCATTGTTTGGTTGGTAGGTAGGTAGGTACTTTGATTGTTTGGTTGCTTACCTGAAAAGCATGGACTTCAAGAATGCCACATTAACCATACTTTAGACAGGAATGAAAACACCCTTTAAAAGCACCTTTGTACTGTTTACTTTTTTCAAGGAAAGGATTCAGGAGTGTTGTGGTTCGTTTCCCACACTCACTCCTTGTTTCCTCAGCGCACAGACGGAAGCACCAAAACAATACAGTTGACAGCAAAGCATTTTCCAAGGCTCAGGGCTCTGTCATATGATCATGTGAAATCTCTTTCTTCTTCTCCCCCCGCCCCCCTCCCCGTCCTCTTTACTTCCTTTCTCTCTTTCTGGATTATGAATGGATCAAATTATAGAACAAATGTATAATTTTTATTAAGAGATATTAGTTTAATGTTCCCTAAACAGTGAGAAGGGGAATATTGCTATATTTCTTTGTAGTTCCCTTCTTCCTCTTAAATTGTTTTACTTATATGACCCTTGATTATTTTTGAGAAGTAAAATGTTTCTTTACCCTTTGTAAACTTTCAGCATAGCAACTGCTTTGTATGCCACATGTTGTTAGACTAAATAAGCTGCTGCTGCTGTGCTTTTCTTGGTAAGGGGGGCAAAGCTCGAGGACTTAAATGAAGTTCCTTCACCCCATATAAAGCTTTGAAACCCAAATGGCAGTTTGGGGATCGGGGGCTGCGGGGCGTTGGTTAAAGAGTACAGAGTTTCAGTTAGGAGGAGTGAGTCCTGGAGGCCTGTCAATACAGCATGGTGACGATAACCAATAATAATGCATAGTGTGTTTGAAAATTCCTGTGAGAGCAGATTTTATATGTTCTCATCACACAAATGATAAGTATGTGAGGTGATGATATATCAGCATAATTTAATCATTCCACAATGTATACATATATCAAAACATTATATGCCATAAATATGTACAATTTGTCATTAGCCAATTACAAAACAAGCTGTTTCTGGGCATCTTAACCAATAGTTAGCCGATACTTGTAAGATATTTTTTTCTTTTTTTTTTCATTTCTGCCTTAAAAATACTTAGAGACATTGTTACTGGAGGTTCATCACACAGTGGTTTTAAATAATAAAAAATCAGAAACAATCTAAATGCCAATTATTAGAAGATTAAGTGAATCATAACATATACCTACGCACTCTTATATAGCTATTAATCAGGATGTAAAATCATATTTGTTGAAGTGAGAGATGATATATTATTGAATGGGGAAAAAAGCAAGAAGGTGAATAACTTGAAAAGTATAATTTAATTTTGTAAATTGACACACTTAAACACATATAAATATATCTACTTCTAGGGTATTGCATAGTGGGATCTTAGCAGACTTTTACTTTCTTTGTGTCTGTGGTTAGTTTGAAAAGATTTTTCAATAAAATGAATTTCATAACTAAAAATTCACAAAACTAATGACCCAGAATTTTTTGAAAAATTTGAAACAGTAATAAATGTAGACTTAAAAGTTGATTTGCCTGTTTTGCTCTGTATGAACAGAACAGAAAGGCCTCCTGTCCTCTTGGGTGATCTCTCTGTGTTGTCTAGGAAGTTCTTGCTCTGGTTAACATCAATGCCTAGGTGTGGTTACTCTTAAACCAATGAGAAGGTATTTGGCAATATTCTCCTCTCCACCCTTCCCCCCGCCCCCCATAAGATTACCTGCTTTCTCTGTGATCACTTTAATATCAGAGAATATTTTTGTCTTAGTAAGTTATAATGATATTCAAAATGCCACCTGTAAGTTGTACACTGTATATTCCCTTTGTATACCCTTTTATAAAAACGTACTATACCTGAATAGAATATATTTTCTTTTCAACCTAAAGCAGCTGTTCACTCAACTTTTATATTTCTTTCATTCTTTCTTAGAACATCTAATGAAATTATCTATGGAAGAACTTGTAGAATTTCTTCAGGAGACCCTGGCAAAGAATTTTTTCTTCGAAGATGACTTTGTAATAGAACAACTTCAGATTTCTATGGCAGAACTAAAGCGGGCGAAATTAGACCTTCCAGAACCTGGTAAGAAATACCTCCCCACTTTATACCTACATAGCAATTAAGATTGGAGACATGGCGCGGTTAACATGGGCCATTTCCTTCTCAAAGCGTAAGCATGACACTTGGGGTGACTTCGTGGAAATCAGCGTCCTACCAGCTGCTTATGGCTCTTTTTCTTATTTTAAGGCAAGGCAGGTAAACATACTAATTAAGCTGCCTCTTCCTATAGTATAATTGTACTATTCCTGCGTAGATTTAGAAATTTGGTTGACGTATGATATTGTTCAATAGAAGTAACCATGGTGTTTTAAACAAGCATAATAATAAGCACTTTTCGCTTTCATCATCTCATTTTGTGAAACCGTATATACTAAGAAAGCATGTAAAAGCCCATTTTATACATGAGGGAACTGACACTTAAATATGAAGCGACAGAACCACCAAATAGTATTCCTGAGACTGGAGTCCAGTTTTTCTGACTGTTAATCCAGGGCTCTTTGCAGTACGTTGCAGTGTAGATAATATATTTTATTCGCTTATTGCAGAACATTTTTCAGCACATACTATTAGGTTGTCTGTAGATGCTCTGCTGAGGATTGAAAAACTGAAGAGAAAGATGTATTTCTTGCTCTACTGGTGCACACAGGAGAGACAGAATTTACACAAGTGATCACTAGTGGTGTGTGAACGGCAGTAACAGAGCTGGGTGCAGGATGAATGGGAGAGGGCGGGGAAGGGGAGTGGAGGATGAGAGGGAAGGAAAAGAAATTGCAGAAAGATCACAGTAGGAATCACTTTGAGGAGTTTTGACCAGATAGTCCTTGAC